ATTAGTTCCCAGGGACCATGAGCATCTCGCAAAATGTCCTGTAATGGTGGTGGGTCATCTGACCTCTTGATCAAGGAGGCAAAGGTGACCCCACCAGATGGACTTGAACCAGTGTCCTGTCTATAAAGATGAGGGTCAACACAGAGGAATCATGTCCTCCATGCTTCCAAGCGAAGCCAACCATAGTCGAACAGAACCTTTGACTTATCTTCACACAGGTGGAACTGGTAAAAGAAAGGAGCCAAGGGCTCCTCCCAAGCCCATGTGACCCCTGAGGAACAGATACTCAAACAACCTTAAGAGTAAAAATAAATCAGTTTATCTGGACCAACTGTATGGCCTTAAACACACAAAAGGAAAGTATAACCAAAGATTAAAGGGGCCAATATAATTTCATAAGAGTCCATATGTATAGCTAAAGGCTACATAACAAGCAACAATGCCAGACAGTCGATACCTTCTTTTGAGTTCTTGGTCAGGGTGGCCAAAGGGATTCCCAGGGCTCCAACTTTTAGGGCTTTTGTTCAGAGCCCATTTGATTTCATCCCGGGGAAATAAAACAAAAACAAAAACCCAAAGGGTCTTTGAAGAGCAGCTGCCTTCTGCCTCCCTTAAAGGGTACTCTGGGAATAAAGAGACACAGTTCCCTGAGAAGCAGGGACAGAAGAGTCAAGAACCCATGATCTTCCTGGGGCCATAGGAGAAGGGAGGCAAAAAGAGCCAGGCAAGGACGCCAAAGGTCCAGCCTGCTAGTTGTTAACTTGAAAAATAAAAGTCAGGCGCCATGAAGTCCCTCAGGCAGGTCGCGTACCGGTCAAGAATTCTAACTTACTGATAAACAAGTTTTATGGTTGAGACATCTGGACTTACTGATAGACAAGTTTTATGGTTGAAACATCTGGTTGTCCCCCGGGTTCAATACCGGGAAATCAGGAAACCACGTCTGTGTCCAGAGGTCATCACCCATTTAGCCACCCTACTTCCTCATACCTTGTACCCGCTTTCCCCATAGCATTTTGTAATAGTTTGAATTAGCCAATAACCGCGCTTCTGCTTCTGTATCCCGCTTCTGCTCTATAAAAGTTCCAAAAACCCGGCCTGAGGCACGCAAGTCCTCCGAGGAGACTTTGTGCCCACAGGTACCTGTGTACTAAATAAACCTCTTGCTGTTGCAACCCGAAGGCTGACTTGTCCTCAGTGGTTTCACTCTTACAATAAAACCAGAAGAAACAGAAAATCAGGGAGAACCAATTCTTTGTCAGTGTGAGGGCTTATTTTTCTTCAACAATTATACTAGTCTTTGAAATTACACTAATTCTGTCAGTACAACTCTGAATGACATAAGAATATATCAATATATACATCTTTTATAAGAGTATGTCAATATAATAAAATGTAGGTTTCATTGTGATA